TCAATCATTAATTTATTTAAAAATAAATATAAGTATATACTTACGCCATTTCTAAACACCTGCTAAAATGTCGTACACGTGCAACCACTATTATCATTTGTTTTGAACTAATTTCAAGGGTAACCACGGTAATAACGCAAATGTAACGAACCCCCATGTTCTTGTGATGCTGTAGCAATCCGTCTAAAGTGGTATTTTGAACCTTATTTCATCAATAATCAGGACGCTCACAAAGTTCATTCAGTAGGACAAACCAAACGATATTTGATCAATACATTGAAAGAACAATATGAAAGAATTTTGAGGAGAATGAGAGTACACTATATGAGACAGAAAACCACTTTCTTGGAAATCGAGGGCGCTAAACGCCCAAAAAAAAACGACTGGGACGTTGCAAAAAAAGGTTATCACAGCACCCGCAGTTGAATGGGCTATCAAGTCTTTTCAGTCCTTCAAATCTCCCGGAGAGGATGGTATATTTCCAGCTCTTCTTCAAAACGGACTGGAAATAATTTTACCTATTCTCACAAAATTGTATAGAGCTAGTCTGGCGTGGAACTATATACCACCCAGTTGGTTGGCGGCAAGGGTGGTATATATACCTAAAGTGGGCCGGAGAACCCACACCCCAAATTGGTACGACCAATCAGCCTGCTGAAAGGACTTGAGAGGATAATGGACGGACATGTCACCAGTATGCTTATCAAACCGGCAAATCGACAGATTCAGCATTAAACAACCTCGTTGAGAAAATCTCCCAATCCCTTGACAACAAGGAGATTGCGGTTGCTGTATTTTTTGATATTGAAGGAGTATTTGACAATGCACTACCTGAATCTATAGGATTGTCTCTGGCTAGAAAGGGTATAGAATCGACCATAACTGGCTGGATCTATGCCATGCTAGTAAACAGAACTGCAACTACGACTCTTCACGGCGAGGCTATCAGGTTCAGGGTCACCAGGGGCTGCCCTCAAGGTGGGGTACTATCTCCCCTTCTGTGGTCGCTCCTGGTGAATAGTCTGCTTGATGCCCTCGACAGAAGAAGCTTATGCAGATGACCTTGTCATCCTGGCAAGGTCCACGTCGGGAAGGGTAGCTTGTAATATCCTCCAAAGCGCGTTGGAAGTGGTTCACAGTTGGTGCCTGAGGGAGCAGATGTCCGTCAACCCCAGCAAAACTGTTTTGATTGATCTCCTTCACCATGAGAAGGAAATTGGACGATCTAACGCCACTTTCCCTCAATGGTGTGGTCATTCCATTGGGAACGGAGGTGAAATATCTTGGCATTGTTCTTGATAAAAGACTCACCTGGAACGCTCACTTGGAAAAAGTTTTACACAAAGCAAGACTACCTCTATGAACATGTCGAAAGATTTGAGGAAAAACTTGCGGTTTAGGTCCCAAACAAATCCATTGGATTTATGTGATGATTGTCAGACCAATGATCACTTATGGTGCATTTGCTTGGTCGGCCCAAGCTCTCTGACTTACGGAAACAGGTTTGTCTGGCAATCAGTGGTGCCATCAGTACCACACCATCAGCGGCCATTTAGATCCTTCTAGAGCTACCTCCTCTCCACATTTTTCTGGAAAGAGAGGGTAGATGGACTGCATACAGGCTTGTGCACATTGCCCATTGCACAAATCAATTCAATGCAGAGTGCAACAGACTGTTGGTTGACATTGGTAGTCACAGCATTCTGGAAATGACCTCTGATTTTATGCCTCCAACTGTCAACTACGAACTGCTTCATAAAATACTATTTCCGAGTAGAAAGGACTGGATCCTGCGGGAGAAGGAAATATTAAGTGCAGATATTTGTTGGTTTAATAATGGATCAAAAACACCTTCCGGTTCTGGTGCAGGTGTTTTCAGTCGCAGACCCAGGACAGAGTTATCTACCTACCTAGGATCTTATGCGACTGTATTTCAAGCGGAAATTTACGCTATTGAATTGTGTGCGGAGAGATTGGATAAATCCAACCTCACTCACAAGTCAATACAAATATTCTCGGACAGTCAAGCGGCGTTGGAAGCGCTTGGTTCCTACCGAGCAACGTCTTAATTGGTAGCAAACTGCCAAAAAAGACTCTCCTCGATAGGAAGACTAAACCGATTGTCTCTGGTCTGGATTCTAGGCCATACTGGCCTGGAAGGCAATGAAGCTGCTCACTCTCTCGCAAAGGAGGGTGCTGCAAGCGGCTTCATTGGACCAGAACATGTCATTGGCATCGCTTTGGACTTTGCCAAACAAACACTGAACACCTGGATGGCAAGAAGAGTTATGGACTCCTGGCAGAATATTCCAGGATTGGCTCCCTCCAAGGCGTTTATTCACCCTTCGAAGCTTGATTCCAAACAGTTTTTGGACTACAGTAGGGATGAACTACGATGTCTAACAGGCCTTCTTACAGGTCACTGTCATTTGAATGATCACATGCAGAGACTTGGACTGTCGGAAGACAGTGGGTGTCGCCTCTGTCTGGAAAATGATGAAACTGCAGAGTATATACTTTATGCCTACCAGTCTGGGGACCGAATCAGGTTCTTTGAGTTCGGCAGATCCGTACTCTCACCATCTAACCTGAAAGACCACTCACCATACAAACTAATCGGCTTCGTTAAGAAGCTGGGTTTATTTGGCCGAGTGTGAATATGTGTGAGCCACAATAAACCTTTATGGGTTGCGGTGGAAGAGTTCTTGTTGTTGTATTTGCATATTTAAGTCTATACTTCATTTTCAAAAATATTCGTTTCAACAGACAGAATTTCAAAACGACAGTTAATATAATTACTAGTAGTTATACTCTCAAATTAAAAATGATTTAACTGAAATGAGTTGTTCGAAATAATGAAATCAAATTGCTTTGAACTGTTGGGTATTAAGTTCACCCAATCGTGACTGAAATGACCATTAGTAATGAGTGATTTGAGCCAAATTCGGTTAGTTCATTCAACAAGGGATAATTTCAATCGATTTGATTATTTCGTTTAAGTCTTCTCAATTGTTCGTTCTTGAATAGTTAAATGCCCTGTTATAACCTCATACTGAATTATTTTCATTCTTGACCGGATAATCAAAAATACTGGCAGATTGTTTCTTCATTGACCTTCATTATTGTATCTTTATGTACAGCGGGTAGTGAGAACTGAGTAAATACATAGGAATCCCGAAAAAGGTAAAAATTACAGACGGTTGAATAAACAAAGTCCCATTCAATGGAGACCAAAATTATGACGTTAAAAAATTTGAGCCCTCTTACTTTCAAAAATATTTGGAAAAATTCCATTTTGTTCTTTCACCCATTGTTGATCAATCTAATAGATTTGCAGAAACTGTTTTTACTTTGTCATGCGCTTTTAATGGATTATGAAAATATGTGAGAGAAAAGTTTCATAGTGCGTTAGATTTTCAAATATCGATACGTTTTTTTTAATTTTTTCGTTACATTTTGTTAAACAATCAGGGTCTTGTTATTCAACGTTTCATAAATGTTGAAAATTTCAATTGTTTCGATAATATCAAGTCATCAGCAGCAAAGTTTAGATATTTTGAAAATATTCAATATGTATTTCGGCTCTTTCACAATGTGTTAATATAGATTTCAGAGATTCGGTGCATTTTTATTAGACCAGTTAATATGAACTTCTTTCCATGATTCACGTGTTCAATTTGATTTCATTGAAGGAAATTACAAGAATGTATAAATGTTTTTCCAATTTCTTCATTGATGCTTCCAGTTGACTACTTATTTAAACTAGTTTTAACTGCTAGATATCTTTTTTGCTTTTTTTTTAAATTCCAAGCAACATTTTGAAGGAATTTGTCGTCCTGATGGAGTTTGCAATAGGCCATGCCGATTGTGTGATGACGGACATCACGATAATAACGTTAAATATTATTTTATTAATTGAGATCCAGGTCGAACACCCGGTTCTTTGGTGTCGATATTTTCCCAGATGGAAAAGCGTTTGAACTACTTTATGACTGTTTGACCTTTGTGCATCGTTGTGATCAAGTACAAGTTGGGTTAGACTAAACAAATGTATATATTATATCCTGCCGATGATCATACGCTTGGAAGGTTTTTGTAGCTAGCGTTGCTGACACGAGGGCTTGGGAGTTTTTGCCAGAGACACAGAAAGTCGGTCACCGGTGCCCGTCGAGACGAGATCGGAGGTCTCATTCCTCAGCCTCCAAGGCTGAGGAAGGTGGCCTAAATAGGGGATTTATTTTTATTTCTAAACACGTGGTGCGAAATTTGAGGTAGTGGAATCGTAAACCGGTAATGGGTACAGGAAAGTTGAAAGTAAAAGTTGTGTTGAAGACACACCGGGTCAACGGAACCTATGGTGGACCATGAACGACCAAAGAGGTGTTATAATAATAATAATAATAATGGTCGTTATTATTTTCAAAATATATATTATAAAAAACAAGATTGAAGAAATACACCTACAGAAATTTTTTGAAAATAAAGGGCGAAGTTCAGTTCAGTTCATGAATAAATTCAACAACTGAACTGTTCTTCCACTTATGCCTNGAGGGACGATCTAACGACATGTTACACAAAAATGATTTTATGTGTTAAAGATGTAGGGAGGTGTAGGATTATTACCGTGGCGATAATTTCATGAAACCTTACATTTCTGACGGAACCCTTGCCAAAGGGTTTTTTCTCACCAATATATCACATTCAAAAGATACTTAAAGTCGCTTTCGGAATCTTCATAAATGAAAAATTGTTTTTTTTTTATTCAAAATAGGCTTCATTTATCAACAAAATATCTATCAAGAGCTACACAATCATTCCAGGGCCTCTTTAACATTTCAGCGTCACTTTTGTACATATTTGGTAGGAAATGTTTTGCTACAACATGAAGGCAAAAATTTCCAGGCTTGATTAATGCTGAGACATAATAAAAAATAGTATTATCAAAATCAATATACCAACTATATCTGAAAAAAATTCATAGCAAACAGAAAATTACTCACTGCTCCACTACCACCTGCGACAGTTTCGTAACACCCCCAAGTATCGCTGCCGAAAGTGATGTTATTCATACAGCCTTGGGATGCGGCACACACTTTGAACGCTTTGAGTACCACATCGACAACTCTTTGTGAGGTTAGAACATTTCCTCCAACGACAGCTGCATTATCGCTGGGATCCAGAATTGACCCTTTGGGAATGTTTATTTTAACGGGAGCTAGGCAGCCCTGTAAAACAGAAAAATGAGTTTTTTTCAGAAAGTTCAAGGAGAATCGATGACAACGGCAAATATACTTAGTTTCATCAAATCGAATATATTCATGGTTACCCTTGATACCAAGTGAATCATGTTATCAATACAATGGATTATTTTTTTCAAATGTTCATGAAAAAATCAGAAAGTATTTCATCTTCGAAATTCTCTTGAGAAAAATAGCTTTTCTGGCTTTCACTGTCGTCATTTAAATCATTTAAATCAATAATGAATTTATTTCCACCATTAAAATGGAAGTGTCCAATCTCCATATAGTCTTTTTCAACTAAAATTACTTTTTTAATCCTTTTCTGCCAGTCTTCTTCGGTAATATTAGATACTTCTTCTTTAATTAGCTCTATTACCTTCTTATCAAATTTTGGAAAATTATTTTTACGCCTGACGCTTTGTTTCAATTTCCCCAAATCAACTCTATGGGATTTAAAACACAAAAATAGGGAGGAAGTCTCAGTATGGTGTGTCCATACTTTTCAGCAATACTTATTATTGAAATCACTACACAGGAGAAAGTCTGCGTTGTTATTACACTCGTTATTACTATCAGTACTTGTCCAAGAACGCCACATTTTAAACAGATAACAAAAATTAATTATAACAAAAATTAATCATTACTGCACCAATATCGAATTTCAATACTCAAATCGCGATCACTTCCTGAACTAAACATTGACAACACGACAGCTCGCATTCTATTCGTCACCGTAACATGAGTTCAAATTTAATTTTATGACTCTTCAGGCAATCATAAAACTGGGTTAGTAAAAATTATCCAATATGAACCGCCAATTCTTCAGTCCACGTGGACTAATTCGTTGCGGCATAATTCCTTTGTATTGGTTTTTTTGGCCTTTGACTTCGCCGACACATGTTCAATGATAATAATCTGAGAAGGCATGTACGACACAAATAAGTTTCGGAATTATTGAACAAATTTATGGAAACTTGATCTGTTAACAATAAAAAGCATAACCGTTCAGTAGTTGTCAACGATGAAGCTATTCGTACTGCAGTTTTAGGGCACGTTGGACAGATGGGAAATTCACAATCTCTTACTACGTTATCTCGAGAATCAGAAATCAGTCGTTCAAATATTTTCAGGATCCTTTATAAGTACAAATTTCATCCATCCATCCAAGATTAGACTAGTTCATGAATTGAACGAAGATGATTTCGATAGACGTATCGAGTTTTGTCAAATTCTCACTGAACGGATCAACTTTCATCAGAATTTCTTGTATAAAATTTGTTTTTGAATGTACGTTTAGTTTGAATGAAGATGTAAATCAACAAAATTGTCGATATTGGAGTGATACGAATCCTAATTTATACCGTCAAGTTCATATCCAACGAACTCAAAAACTGAATGTTTGGGCAGGAATTTCAGGTGACTACTTCATAGGACTTTTTTCATAGATGATAATTTGACTAGTGATAAATATTTGGATTTGTTGGAGAATCGAATAATATCGTATATCAATAGGGCAATTGAGGAGGATATAAATTTATTCGAAAACGAAATAGTATAAAAAAATGGTGACATACTCTGAGGGTGCGATAGGGAAAGTTAGATCAAATGTGAATATGTCAAAATGTGTCCCCCTGTATACTATTGTTTTGGTGTTTTTTTATTTTTCCTAAAAAATCATTGTTTCGAAAGTTATTCAGGGTGGCTCGTTTTCAACTCGAATAATTTGTAGCTCCCGAACCATAAGCTTCAGATCATATGTTTTATACTTTGTTGATATCTGCATTTGATAATACGAAACAATATAGGGTGATCCATTAAAAAAATGGGAGACTTGCTCTGGGGGTACGAATCAAATATCTGATTTCAAAAATGGCTGAAATACAGGGGTGTCTTCATCTTAAGTGTGTCACACTTTGTAACAACATGTGAAACCTGTTCAACTGTTAGGTGGGAAACTATTTATGGGCATCCTAGAAAAATGCCCTGTCACAACAAGGAATTCGGGAGATTTACGAGGTCGTCTAAAAAGAAGTCAGTTAAAAACTCGCATGTACAACCGATATGTAATAAAATCCTCGGAAAAGTTATAGCAGGCGTCTCATAATGTTTCTTACCTGATTCAGAGGCACGTCGTGGCCGACCATACATCTCAGACAATAAATTAGGGCCGATAGAGTTATTGCTTTGGGCGCATTGCAGTTGCCCCACACCTCAGCTCCTGTGCCACTGGAACAAAATAATGAACTTAATGAAGACTACAACGTGGATGTATATCGGAAAACATCGACAGCGAGAATTTATATTCCGGTGGATTTTACACTCCGCATTTATCATCTAGTGGATTTCATGCTCCACACGTTCCTATTGTGGCTCACTATTAGTTATGAAATGTGATCATATTGCCCAGTATGAAACCAAATATGGGTTTCTCTATTTTTCATACGTTCGATACGTTTGTCGAGACTAGATCTGTATGAGAGAAAATAAATAACTGGGTCACAATGGTTTGAATAGTTGAATGTTACCATATAAATAATGATTGCGTTTTAATTAATGTAGTTATGAATTTTTTACTTCTCATTCATTATGTTAGGTTTCAATGTCATGTGTTTTCATAGCTCCATATCTCAATGAATATTTATTCCGATGTGCCATGGTTTATACTGATCGATAGAGAATTTTGTACTCTATAGGTACATTGATGCTGTTCATTTTGTCCAAATTCCAATTTCATTGTCTCTTTACAGCTTATTACTATATAATGCCGTTGAGCGATTTTTGGCCAACTTTTCACTCCGAAATCAAATCGAATGAAAGCGCTGCCGAAACAGCCCAAAAAATCAACCAGGCCTTTGGCAATGACAATGTTAATGAAAGCACTGTTCGACGTTGGGTTGTGAAATTTCGTTTCAAAGATTTTAGCCTTGAAGATGAGCCCCGAAGTGGTCGACCTACAGTAGGTAGGTAGGTCTGAAATGAGTGGGTCTATTCGACCCTCCACCGCAACCCATAAGGGTTTATTGTGGCTCACACCTATTCACACTCTGCCAAATAAACCCATCTTCTTAACGAAGCCGATTAGTTTGAATTGTGAGTGGTCTTTCAGGTCAGATGGTGAGAGTACGGATCTGCCGAACTGATTCGGTCCCCATCGGGGCAGGCACAAAGTATATGCTCTGCAGTTTCATAATTTTCCAGACAGAGGCGACACACACTGTCTTCTGACAGTCCAAGTATCTGCATGTGATGATTCAAATGACAGTGACATGTAAGAAGGCCTGTTAGACATCGTAGTTCATCCCTACTGTAGTCCAACAACTGTTTGGAATCAAGCTTCGAAGGGTGAATCAACTCCTTGGAGTGAGTTAATCCTGGAAGATTCTGCCAGAAGTCCATAACTCTTCTTGCCATCCAGGTGTTCAGTGTTTGTTTGGCAAAGCCCAAAGCGATGCCAATGACAAGTTCTGGTCCAATGAAGCTGCTTGCAGCACCCTCCTTTGCAAGAGAGTCAGCAGCTTAATTGCTTTCGGGGCCAGTATGACCAGGAATCCAGACCAGAGACAATCTGTTTAGTCTTCCTATCGAGGAGAGTCTTTTTTGGCAGTTTGCTACCAATTAAGATGTTGCTCGGTAGGAGCCAAGAGCTTCCAACGCCGCTTGACTGTCCGAAAATATTTTTATTGACTTGTGAGTGAGGTTGGATTTATCCAATCTCTCCGCACACAATTCAATAGCGTGAATTTCCGCTTGAAATACAGTCGCATAAGTTCCTAGGCAGGTAGATAACTCTGTCCTGTGTCTGCGACTGAAAACACCTGCACCAGAACCGGAAGGTGTTTTTGATCCATCTGTGAACCAACAACTATCTGCTCCTAATATTTCCTTCTCCCGCAAGATCCAGTCCTCTCTACTCGAGAATAGTACTTTATGAGGCAGTTCGTAGTTGACAGTTAGAGGCATAAAGTCATAGGTATATTCGGACGGGATACCGTGATGGACCGGGAAAAAATATTCCGGTAAATCGTTTTAGTTTTTCTTGATAATATTTGTTATTTGGCACTTTTTTTAACGGTAGCGTTTTTTCGGGCACTTCAAAAACCATCCAAAATGAGCTTATTATAGACAGTATGGCATACATTATTAAGGAAAATATAAGCAAGGAGATTGAAAGTGTTTCTTTTTATGCATGGGAAATTGATGAAACTACCGATATTACCGGTACATCACAACTTTCAATCGTTTTTAGATATGTCAAAGATGTTAATGTGGTAGAATGTTTTATGGGTTTTCATGATGTTTCATCTGGGCGCACAGCTGACGATTTGTTTAATTTTTAATTCGTACGTGTGATACCTATAATTTTAGGCAAAAGTTTATTGCGCAAACCTATGATGGGGATGCGGTCATGGCCGACCATTTAAATGGTTTACAAACTAAAATAAAGTTCATAGCTCCTCATGCACTTTTAACGCATTGTCATGCCCATGCCCTAACTTTAGTATTAAGCAAAGCGTGCAACAACATAAAAATTTTCGCGTCTCCGGCGGGCTTTTCTGTGTGTGTATAGTCTATATGACTTAAGCCTCCCCTGTTCTCCAATGCACGAACCGTCACTGATACATACTACTTGAGTATTTAGAAATATCTGTAGAAAAATCAACATGCATTGTGAGATCGAATGTGGTCAGCTTTTTTTCTAGTTCTAATGTTGCTCTAGACTCTCTAGAGGGTTTATTTTCAAAATCTATATTGGAGTCACCCGTTACTTCAATAGATGCCTTGGGAGGGATTTGAAATGAAAGCATTTCTAGTTGCTCTAGAAAAACATATCCATTACATAATATTGATCGATAAAAGCAAAACATGTATACATCATGAACTTGACAGTAAATCATTGAAAATTCAAATTATTTCTCAACCAACATATAATCATATTTATCACATTTGATAAAACTAACTGTTTCATATATTTTTTTTGTAGGATCAATGTTCCTCCATGCTACAGTATTCTGATACTATGAAATAATTTGGTATATACAGAGGCTCATCCTCCTCTAACCAATGTTCAGTTAACATTACAATATTTGGAAAATCCTGACTTTCTGAAAAAAATTATAGATCATCTGTTTTGATACGTACTGATTGTATTGTAACGAATTAAAGAATTAACTGTCTTAAACAAATTTATTTTAACAATACTTCACTATCACAACTAATTTATTTACACCACTCAGTAACTAACGCTTAATTTATCTTCACCGTTTGTTAACCGCTCGATTCGCTTTCTTGGTACAGACTACTCTTCGGGACGAATAGCGACGTTTTTATATCGTCAACGAACGTTCCGGATCCCTCTGCGGATTTCGGTACCCATCCGGAGTTTTCGCGGTATGCGTCATGCGTTGGCTGACTGGGACACCGTCAGGGCCGGCTTCAGATTCATTACAGTATATTCAACAGCATCATAGATACATTGTTCATAGGGTTTATTTCTACAAAATCACAATTTACGTCATTACTAGTTGTACTTGAGGATGAATTATTATCATCATTATTTTCAATTTCATTTTTGGATCAACAATAAATCTGATAGAAGTATTCCTGATTGATTTTTATCGTATATTCATGTATAGAACTATTAAAAATTTTATTTACAATGTTATCCTGTACCTGAAATGTCTCCCTTATCAATTACAGATTACCCTCTCAGTGGAAGAAGATTTTTCAATGCTTGTCGCAATGATTTCCTGTTGCTTATGTTGTTTACTCTGCAATAACATAGTCATTTTGTCCATAATGCACTGTTCTTTGGAATAAATCACTGGTAGCATCCGCTAGTTCTACTCTCAGGAGCGAGTCTACAGAGAAGATGGATGTCAAGTTTACAGAGATACAGTTTCACAGATTTTGTTGCTTTGTCTACTTGTGCATGTTGCTATTTAAAAAAATATCAAACATTGTTTCGAATATTTTTTTATCCAAAGATACGTTTTCTTTAATCATGCGGTACCATGGTTTCATCCCAACGTTTCATTTTTTGTGCCATTATCAGGGTTTTAAAATTCGAAACTGGATTTTTTTCAACATCCTTTCAACGAATTTTGTTTACTACATCCATTGATTCGTTAACATGTTTCATCTAATTTTCACTCATAATAATCTCGATTCGCATCTGAACTGAACAACATTTATACATATCTGATTTCTCTCCAGCTGTATAAACAGTTTGTGGAATATTCCAATGATAAATTCAACTCAACACTGAAATGAATGTCAAAAAATTCGATGGAAACAAAAATTAATTTGTATCTAGTACAAAATTTCACAGCAAAGAATAAAAAAAGGAAACACTCATTCTGAAATATTTTTCGAAAGTTATTGAAAATTATTGGAAACTGTGTTTCACCCCATGTGTTTCACCTTCTCCAAGAACATCTTCAGATATGATCCTAATCGATGATGTAAATAGTTATTCAGTCTCCTTTATATTTGTTTCTAACTTTTGGAAAATTTTTGAAGTTCTCCCCGAAATGACAGTAAATACTGTCGAAATATCAGAATATTCATCTGAGGGTAAATAATTCAAATCATCAATTTAAACAGTGGAGTTTTAATTCACGAACATTGAAAAGTTTGCCTACGGTTATGTTATCATTCAATACAACATTTCTGTGCATGCAACAATTGTTTTATGAAAATTTCGACGAATTATTTCAACAATTATTCTTTTTATAAATATCGTTTGATATTCAGGACACATGAAACAATAACGTTATATTTCACCTTCATTCCAATTATTATATTTGCCGATGGGAAAACACAACAGTTTCCACAGAATGCATTTTGTTCTATCGAAAATTTGTATTGGTAAATTAAATTATTCAAACAATTTATTTATTTGGAAATGATCGAATGAAAAGTATTTGAACACCAAATCGTTATTTTACCACCTCGACACGTGTTTCGATCACCAAGTGATCATCTTCAAGAGAAAGATTAAAATAAAAAAACTGGTTTTGATAACGTTGGAATGCGTGAATCAAAAAACTGGTTCTATTTTAGAATAACAAAAAGAAATGAAGAAAAGCCAGTTCAAAATTTGAGATTATTTTGTGGGCAACAGTATAAACATCGCTGAATATGAAAAAGTGCAAGACAAAATATACGAGATCAGGACAGTGGAGTTAGGAAAGAAATGCAGACCTTCACCGGCAAAATGGAAGGAGTCAAAAGAGAAGTGGGCAAGATGAACAAAAAAATTAAGGAAGAGATGAGAGAACGAAAAAAAAAATTGTCGGTCAATTTATGAAAGAGATTGACAAGAAATAGGTAGAACAAGTAAACGAATTAGTGGGGGTGGCCGCTCATTAGACGCCTCCACTCCTCCACTTTTTCCTTCATACAGTCGACCAATCAGAAGCTACTGCGCGTAAAGCGGGAAATTCAAATCAGAAGATGAACAACATGGGTTCTGACGCAAAATTCCATGTATTTCCTTATGGAGCTAAACTTTTTGCAATCTTCATGACTTCCGATCGAAACCTAGTGGAAATACCCAATTTGAAGTAGGTGGGTGAGTGGGAGAAAGAAACGTGTGACGTATTCAATGCAGAGAAGGATGGACTGAGTATCGTGGCTCTGCCGTGATTGACCTTCTTTCCCTAGCTACTCGTGGGACTTTTATGGACAGAGTAAACCTAAAAATTATTTCTGATGCTAAGTCTATAGAGGAGATGTTTGTCAGCTTACGACTCCAACTGACCTCGCTGTGAACTTAGATCAGGAGAGAGTCTACAGAGGAGATGGATGTCGAGTTTACGTCTCCAACTGATCTTCCTGTAAAATTTAATCCAGTAGCGGGTCTACAGAGGAGATGGGTGTTGAGTTTAGGACTTCAACGGACCTCCCTGTAAACTCAGTTCAGGAACGAGTCTACAGAGAAGATGAATGTCGAGTTTACGACTCCAACTGACCTCCCTGTAAATTTAATTCAGGAGCCAGTTTCCAGAGGAGATGGATGCCGAGTTTACGACTCCAAGGGATCTCCCTGTGAATTTACTTCAGAAGCGAGTCTACAGAGGAGATGGATGTCGAGTTTACACTCTCTGTAAATTCAGTTCAGGAGCGAGAACTGCGGCGTACGCAGAATCTGTCTCAGGTGGGGGAACTAACCCTCCATGAGCAGGTTAGTAAACGTTTGCGCTCAAGTGAGGTTTTACCAAAACCAGAGGCGAAAAAGCCCAGCACGGCCGAATCTAAGGTATCGTCAGGTGTAGCTGACGTGCAATAACCCTCATATGGAAAGGTTGTCGTGGGTATCAAGGTGGGAATCTTGCAACTTGACTATCCGACTACCTCATTAACAGAGCATATACTTTGTGCCTGCCCCGCTGGTTACCGAATCAGGTCTTTAGAGGTACTTTTACCATCTGACCTGAAAGACCACTCACCATACAAAGTATTCAGCTTCGGTAAGAAGCTGAGTTTGTTTGGCCGAGTGAGTGAGAATAGGTGTGAGGCACAATAAACCCTTGCGGGTTGCGGTAGAGGGTACAAAAATAGACCCACTCACTCTGGACCTAACCTAACCTAACATTCGATTAGCATATGTAGGTGCACTCGTCAAGAACATATGTTCACAACAAATGTTTCGGCTGTTTAGTATTATCAGTTTGTTGGTGAGAGGCATGAAAGTTGGATGTGTTTTGCGTGTGTAGCGATTTCCATCAATAAAAAAAATGGATCAAAAAGTTCGTATCGAATTTTGTGTGAAAAATGGAATTTAGTGCTCAAAATCACTTGAACTGTTGTTAGAGACATACAGTGATTGGACTCTAAGTCAGAAAAATGTTTACAAGTTTTGGGTTATTAAAAAAAATTATAACTATTTATTTGAATGGTCTGTCATGGAACTTAATGTGACAAATCAAATTCTACGCGGACGAAGCCGCTGGCAACAACTACTGTATTATATCTGTGAGGACTACTTTGAACGAAATAGAAATTGATGAATGAATATATTTTGAGAAAAAATAAAAATTCACCAAATTTTTTTGACAGACTTTGTATAGGAATCGTATATAAATCGAATATAACATCTTGACATTTTATTCTCATGACAATTGTCATAACAGGCGTAGTTAAAAGTAATTTTTGTAGGCTCCGCGAACGGAGTTGAACTTTTTTCCGTTTTGAAAGAGTATCAAGATTTTATTTTTTGGGCAGAATTTATAAATAGGTGCACTGACTAATTTGATTCTTCAAAGTAACTTTTTGCTGTGCATTTTATATTTTTCACTTCATTGCGCTTGAGACCCAGAAAATATTGAGGAGTAATAACTATATAACCAGAATTCTCATATGACCAGACGTCACATATTTTGATTTTAAAATATTACAATAATTAACTGAAATCATCAGATCTAACTATAAAAACCATACGAATCTCAGCAATTAGCAATATCTACCTGAAATCGCAATATGCAGATCCCTCCTTCTCGTCCAAGTTGACTTTCAACCTTATTGAAGAACCGTCATCCATGAAGTCCTCAGCTTCGAGTAGTGACTCACCTGTCCTCTGTTTCGCATCTTTTGCCACCTCTCTCAGCATATCTCTCACAGACAATTCGGCGTTAGTTTGAATGTGACCCATATAGGCTTGAACGACTCCCAAGCCATACTGGTCTATGAGCTCGCATACCAAATCAATACCTACAAATGGAAAAGAATAATAGATTGGTATTAACGATTTCATTCATTCGTTCATTGGTAAATATCAATATTTCTATATGAATGAGGTTTGTTAATATTTTGTTAAATAATGAATTTTTCAAAGACTTTAATACTTTTGACAATTTCCAATGAATTTGAAAGGGTCCTCCAACAAAGACTTCCAAACTTTGACAATTGATAACGGCCATCCTGTTATAATCATCCTACCAAGAGGACTATTTGTAATGTGGTGGATAAATGTGGGTCCACTGGCTCAGTTAATGATTGACCAACACCCGTACGTCAACAAAACGCCAGATCTGCCGAAAACATCTCCGCTGTTTGTGAGAGTATGCTGGATAATCTGAGACCGTAGATTTCGTGTCACTTACAAGAATTCGGCCTTTCACAGACCATAACTTGGCGAATTTTGCATCGTGACTTGGTCCTTTACCCCTACAAAATTCAACTGTCCGAGAAACTTAAGGAAAAGGTCCATAGACAACGACTTGTGTTCGCTGAATTGGTTCTGGAGCAATTGGCAACTGACCCTTATTTTCATTGAAAAATACTCTTCAGCGATGAGGCTCATTTCTGGATGAATCTCAATGTAACCAACGAAAATTGTTGAATTTGGAACGATACCAATCCACATGAGATCCAAGAGCGTCCAATGCATCCCAAAAAAGTCACTTTTTAGTGAGGATCCTGGGCTGGCCGGCTTCATCGATCCATATTTCTTCGAGAACGACGTTGGCCAGGCTATCACTGTCAACGGAGAACATGCACTATAGGTCGATGATTACCAACTTCTTTCAGCCTGAATTGAATGATATGGACCAACAACATGTGGTTTCAACAGGACGGCGCTACGTGACACACAGATCATGCCATATTGGATATTCTGCACGAGCCATTTGGGGGCGTGGTCATCTCACGTGGATGTGAACTGTCCAACGAGATCGTGCGGTTTGACCCCATTGGACTTTTTTGTGGGGTTTTCCCAAGTTGCAGGTGTATGCGAATAAGCCACAAACCACATTAGTCCTCAAAGTCAACATTACCCGTGCCATCGGTCAAATTCAGCCTGATTAATGCTCCAGGATTATGGAAAATTGGACGCTCCAGACAGAGAAACCGTGCCACATAATGGCATTAACATGGCTTAGTGTCTGGAGGTTGTGAGATTGAACGCCTCTTCGACCAGATATTTTTAAGCGAGAATTTGAAGAGAATGAAGTGTATTTGTTAGGTTTCATGACTAACGAGGCTGTGAACAGATGTGTTGCTTCCTAGGTGACTTGAAAAGTAATATTCCAAAACACTAGACTAATGACCATGCTTGTCAATGGTGTAAAATAGGGTTTCAAGTAAATAGTATTATATCAAATCTGACGAGACAAAATGAGGATGTTGATAAAGATAAAATTTCAGTAAGAGAGGAAATTATTGAATGAATGGAAATTTAAATTTTTTCTCTTCAGTCATCAGCTTCAGTCAGAGCTATTTTGTTGAAAGTTCAAAGTCATGAATAGTATAATATAATATATAATATAATAATGTTTATTTATCAAAAAATTACAATTTTGAATTCATACATTGAATACATACATGCAATGAATGATTTCATGGTCCGGTCAATTTAGACCTGAAAACAGTAATGAAATAACGACAGAGCTAAATTTTGGTGAAGACCTTTATTTTACCATAAAAAATAAAAGTTCATAGTCGCAATCTGTCCCATGAGCGCTTCAAAAGTTATTCGGGGTTAAAGGTCAAAGTTTCAGGTTTTACGAGGTTTTCTCGAAAGCCGTAAGTTTTATCAAAAAAATACTTCAGAGCAAAGTTGTAGATAAATTCTCTACAAACATGGTCTTCATGATTTTTTCTGTAGGTATCACCGTTCCTGAGATATCGCAATTGTAAAGGTGACGTTCTATGTAATATGCACACGTTTCCACACGACCTGTGAATTTCCTTCTCCCGCAAGATCCAGTCCTCTCTACTCGAGAATAGTACTTTATGAGGCAGTTCGTAGTTGACAGTTAGAGGCATAAAGTCATAGGTCATTTCCAGAATGCCGTGACTACCAATGTCAACCAACAGTCTGTTGCACTCTGCTTCGAATTGATTCGTGCAATTGGCAATGTGCACAAGTCTGTATGCAGTCCATCTAGCCTCTCTTTCCAGAAAAATGTGAAGAGGAGGTAGATCTAGAAGGATCTCCATGGCCGCTGACGGTATGGTACTGATGGCACCACTGATAGCCAGACAAGCCTGTCTCTGTAAGCCAGAGAGCTTTGCTTGGGCCGTTTTCTGTAAAGCCTTCGGCCACCAAGCAATTGCACCATAAGTGATCATTGGTCTGACAATCATCACATAAATCCAATGGATTTGTTTGGGACCTAAACCCCAAGTTTTACCACAAATCCTTCAACATGTCCATAGAGACAGTCTGGCGTTCCAGGTGAGTCTTTCATCAAAGACAATGCCAAGATACTTCACCTCTGTTCCAAATGGAGTGACCTCAGCATTGAGGGTGCGTGGGATGGCAAAAGACCTGGGCGTCAGCTCCCATACAGTTTTTGACAGTATGAAACGTATTGCTGATATCTTAATGCCCTACAACCATGACTTTTTAATTCTAGTTTTTTTTTGCCAATAGGAAACGCAGTATTGAAATTATTAGACAGAGTTTCATGAAACCTATTCAATGTTCCTTCATTTAGATGATGTGAACCATTTCACTTTGCATCATTGTAAAAATCTAAAAAAGTTTCAATTTTTTTTTGCTGTAGATTCTTCCAAAGCGCTTCTTTGGACTCGATAATATTTTTGACCTAAATCGCAAAACGAATAATTTTCCAAATTTTCATCAATATTGCTGGGTTGATAAAAAAAGTATTTTGTGAATTATTTCACGTTCATTAAAAATATTTCTTGACTTTTTGTTCATAAATTTGAAGTCGTTATAATGACGTATACAATATTCGGAATTTCCATTTCATTCAATTTACGAAACTATGATTCAATCTACACATCGTCAACAAAGAAACATATTGCTAATGACGTTATTATAACGTCATCAAGATGAATCACTGCCATTGAACCTAAAAGCTTTGTACTAATCCCCACACGAAGCATATGACATTTTTTTATGAGGTTGAAAGTGATCATTGCACATTTTTCCATAGACTGCTGAAAAAGATAAAGAATACGCAAATGCTCAAATACCTTTTTTATTCGCCGCTACTTGAGCCCTCAAGTCAGAGATATTGTCAGACAGGTTTCTTCCCCCGGCTTTCCTGATAGCTTCACTAAATTCATCTTCTTGAAATACATCCTGTTTCACCAAAAGAAATGATTTGAAAGCAGCGCCCTCTTGATCCAAGCTAGTCGAATGTGGAGGCATTGAACCAGGAGTGATGCCACCGATGTCTGCATGATGACCACGACTAGCCACGAAGAAGATAGGATCACTGCTGCCCCTTGAAAAAGTGAATAATTTGCAAAATATATCATTGATGTAGAACATCTATAGCTGCACATAAAACTGATTGCTAAGCGCAAGCAACTGTGCAATTATCTTCCCACTGGTTAGGCGTTACGCGTTTCTTGTATATAGTTGTGTTTATTACTGAATAATTTTTTTCAATAATGAAAATAGACCATGTCTGACTGATTATTTAGAATGTGAAAGTGAGCAGTCTACTGCAGAAAAAAGAAGCAAAATCACACTACGACACCACCATCAAGTCATCAGTGAGTAAATTATAATTTTATCCTCTACAGGGTAATTCAAATTCGACCCCCACCATTGGGATCTCCTAAACTACAGGAGTTACGTCGAAGCTTGAAATGTGACGAAGTTGCGTTTTTTGTGCTTGACAAAAAACAAAATACTTGTAAAATTTCGAATAATTCCGGAAATATCCGGCAAAAACTGAAAATCGGAATTTTCATTTTTTTCTAGCGTTTGATACTTCCATTCAATCATTCCTGCATCTCAGTGTAAAATGAATCAATAAAATCAACATTACACATTCATTATTTCCGTAAGCACTAAATTTTATGTGTAGGCATCAAACAATAAATTCGCATAATACTCGCCATTGATATTTCACCTTTTTTAAGATAGTTGATAAAAATTATCCCACGCGAATTCCAAAAAGCAGATGTCATGACCTTGCCTGCAGATGAAACGGTCTTGTCCTTCTTTGGAGGCGATTGTTTTGATTGTTCTTTTGTCTCAGGTGTGAAATAATGGACCCATGTTTCTTTCATTCATGGTTATGAAACGACGCAAGAATTCTGCTTCGTTGATGTGAAACTTCTCTAAACACTCAATTGAAACTTGAAACGCGGCACTCATCTTGCACAAAGCTTTCTCATGTCCAAATTCTCAGACAATATACGATGTACCGCACTTTTTGAAATGTCTACTAAGTCTTCTAACTCGCACACTTTCAGTCGACAATCATTCAGTACCGCTTTGTGGATTTTCTTCACCTTTTCTCATATGGCCTCGTTCAAACACTGCTACCCAATATCCACCCAGAGTAGAATCCAGTTCGATTCATATATTCGTTATCGTTGTACCACATAACAATGACCAATTCCCTCTATTTTCACAAATTCACCGGAAACGTTTGCTACGCATCGTCTTCAAACTTGAAAGATATGCTTTATAAATTGTGTACTTTTTAATGATATTTTTCAAACAACATCCGTCATCTCTAGATCAGGCTAAGACCACCCTGGTGCTAGGTCCCATTGTTACGCCCAAGATGAGTTATCTCATCAAATTTCATACAATGCATTTAAATGTTTCAATATATGTGAGTTTTTATTCATTTATACATTAGTTGTAGCTCTGAAAAAGCGGTAAATACATCCACAAAACAATAGCGAAGATACAGTCTGTTTTTTATTGTTATTTAGGTTATGATTCTGTAGAAAATTCACTACCCACCCCATGTCGTCTAATCGTAGCATAGCAAAATGAAATATGGCAAATATTCACAACACTGAGAGTTACCAGTTGATGCTTATCTGATAAGATAGGAATCATTGTATTCAACTGAATGAAAAATTATCATACATGTTCATGACATTAAAAGATATGAGATATGAGAAGTTATACTTACTCCTCCTGCCGGTCCAGACAGGATGGCCCTTGCACCATTGAAACTTTGCATTGGTGTTAAACCACCATCGCTCTGCATGAAAAGAACTCTTGTTCCTTCCAAATTGTTTTTGAAACCCTTGGAGAAACCTTCCACGTACCTCTTGACATGAGGCGTAAGATAAGCATCTGCACAAGAAGTGAATCCTCTAGGGACGATTCTAACCATCGGTATGACTTGGTGAGAAAGTGAAACATGGCTAAAACCTGTGAAGAAAAATAAATACCTACATTGTGGATAAACCAACATAGCCTTGACAGAAAATCTATTATGAATTTAATGAGTCATATAGCTCTCACAGTTATTGTGTATAGTAAAAGTAAAACTGTATTCATTATTATTTCTTAGAGAATAACTATAAGTAATATTGTGTTGAATAAATCGGCGTCCAGATATATTCATTGAATTCCATCAAAATTGGAATCATTCTGCCGTGATACGATTTTGTCTCTTTGAGAACAGAAGTGATCGATGAATGCATAGATGACAGNATTATTAGGTCAAGTGACATCTGACTGGGCTCCACAACAAATAATATTGAGACGAAAAAGTACGTTATTGCCTCGTTTTATGTGGTTTTACATTTTTTCAGATAGAGCAACAGAAAATACAATTTTTTGGTCTCTTGTGTTTGCTACATATCCAACTTTGTATCCGAGAGAAAATACATGGAAGTCACTTCAACTCATTCTAAGAAAGTATTCATGGACAACATAAAATAAAAAAGTGAAATAAAAAATAAACGATTCCTACCTTAAAGTGAATGAGAAAAATTTTCAACTTTCGATAAAACACACGACTACAATCATTTGTTATTGATTGTCAGACTTATTCTGGATTATTTCTTATGACATTGCAATTGTTAAAATTCGACTTTTCAAGTGCAGAAGTTTTAAAAACAAGAGCCGTCAGATGAACCCATGAATATAAATCTAGAGGATTCATATTAGGGCTGCATGTCCAATCCAGCGATTAGGATAGGTAATGTCGAAATGCTAACTATAGCAAGAACACTATAAAATGAACTAGAGCCTCGTCGTGCATAAACCACATATTAACTCCCACAAAATGGGAAACAAAATGGGTAGAAAAAGTACTCATCTATTTATTTATATATAACCACGCCTGTAGTTTCAATCTGTTCGATGTTTCGGCTTCTGCTTTGAAGCCATTTTCAAAAACTAATTGAACCTGAGTTACATGACTTAACGACGGGGTCGTAATCTACCTGACCCCCTAAGTCTCGTCACTGGCTATGTTATTGGTTTGTTCAGTTCCAAGTGTTCACTTGGATTATTTATTTAACTCAAAAATTTCTTAGTCTCCAAAATATCAAACGTGAATTTTCCACAACCTAAACAGGCTCATAATAATTCATCCGTGGTTTGCATCTTTGATCGGCAGGTACAGACACATTTTAAGAAGTATCGTGCTAAAACGACAAATAATCCTGCATACTCAATTACAGTGTACGATAATTTTAAAAATTGGTAGAAACGAGAGAATTTTGGGCAGAATTGAATGACATCAGAAACAGAGTCGGCCAGAGTCAAACTAACGTTGCACTTGTGTGCAACGTTAGTTTGACTCCGTATGTAATAAATTCAAATTTTGAAGTGGCTAAGTAGTGTCAAAATTTCTGTGAGTTGTATTAGCTAGAATATATTTTATTACATTGTATCATTATTTTAGGTGTGTTTCAGTTTTTGACATAATGATTCATAGATACAAATGAAATATGATCAAGAAAACATTAATTTGCTTGAATTTTGATTTCATGAAAACTAAATTCAACTTGATGCAATTCACATTGATAAATCTAAAGGATCAACTCTATACCTGCGTATTTATGAACGAAGACAGTGGTCATTCCCAAAGATCTCGCAATAGCACAAGCATGTTGCACACTAGTAC